TTACCTTGGGATGGTTTCGTTTTACTCGTCTTTCGTGCCAAGGATGCGTTCACTTCGCGGATCACTGGACGCATTAAAGAAGAAAGACACGCCGTTTGTCTGGAGTAAGGAGTGCCAGGAAGCCTTCGACCACCTTCGCGAAGTCCTGACCTCGGATCTTCTGCTGTGCCACTACGACCCCAAAAAACCGATCATTGTTGCAGCTGACGCAAGCAACTATGGAATCGGAGCTGTGATTTCTCACCGCTACCCCGATGGATCGGAGAAGGTCGTTTGCCATGCGAGTCCCGCATTGACGGCACCAGAGAAGAACTACTCGCAGGTTGAGAAAGAGGGATTGGCCCTAGTTTTCGCCGTCAAGAAGTTTCACCGGTATATCTATGGACGAAGATTTACACTGCTCACGGACCACCGCCCTCTACTCACTATATTCGGGAGCAAGAAAGGAGTGCCGGCCTATACTGCCAACCGGTTACAACGATGGTCGATGACATTACTTGCTTATGATTTCGACATCAAGTACTGCTCTACGACATTTCGTTTGGACAGGCCGACGCTCTCTCCCGACTGCTTTCCTGCCGGAGTGCGCCGGACGAAGACGTCATCATTGCTACTGTAGAAGCTGATGTCACCGCCACTTACGAGGAAGCACTCAACCAGCTGCCAGTTACAGTGGAAGACGTACATTCTGCTATGGAAAAGGACCCCGTGCTGATGGAACTGCTCAACTGCCTCCAAACAGGACGGTGGCCAAATGCGCTTCCGGGAACTCCGTTGTTCAATTACAGGAGCCAACAGAAGGAACTCTCTGCTTACAACGGATGCATTTTCTTTGGCTCCAGGATCGTCATACCCGCTACGCTGAGGAAAAAGATTCTCCGCATGTTGCACGATGGACATCCTGGGCAAACCCGAATGAAGTTGCTTACTCGAAACTACGTTTACTGGCCTGGTATTGAAGAAGACGTCAGGAAGACTGTGGAACGCTGTCAGAGTTGCCAACTTGCCGCTAAGAATCCTGTAAAAGCTAAATTGACTCCATGGCCGATAGCAAGTCGCCCGATGGAACGCTTGCATATTGACTTCGCGGGACCGCTCTATGGACACATGTACCTCGTTGTCGTGGATGCGTATTCCCGCTGGCCTGAAATCGTGGAGATGCAGTCGACTACGTCACAAGCGACCACACAGGAACTCATGAAGATCTTCAGCCAATTTGGATCAGAAACGCTTGTTTTAGACAACGGCACACAATTCTCTTCCCAGTTTTTCGAGGATTTCTGCAGGAAGTACAAAATCAAACACATTCGAACGCCGCCATTCCACTCACAATCGAACGGGCTCGCTGAACGCTTCGTCGGAATCTTCAAGAGAGGACTCCTGAAGCTGAAAGGAGAAGGAAACCTTCCGGAAGCCTTGTCGAAGCTACTACTTTGCTATCGCTGTACGCCCTGCCCGTCTTCGCCTGAGAATCGTTCGCCGGCCGAGATATTTCTTGGACGAACGATTAGTACTCCACTCACACGTTTGGTCACTGACGCTCGAACTGTCACACCAACCCACTCCCCCGGATCGAAACCGGCGATGGAAGCTATGTACAACCGCCGACATGGAGCCAAGAAAAGGAAATTCGAAGTTTACGATGCCGTCTACGTTCGCGACTACCGTAATCAATCAAAGCCTATTTGGACTCCAGGACGTGTACAATCAAGGATTGTACGCTCACTCTACAACGTGGAAGTGGAAGGATTTTTATGGAGACGCCATGCCAACCAACTACGCCATCGCAAGGTTCCCGACGCCACTACCACGCTGTTAAGAGAGTTCAACCTTCTAGATTTTGAACTCCATAGACCGTCGTCTGCCGAATCTGCTGATATTCTCGCTTCCCAAGACGCCGATCTCGATGATGAAGCAGCATCTCCCAATATCTCAGCTGCCGATGCCGAATCCGTGGACGCTGATGTCGCCGTTACTCAACCGTCTCCAACGCCTCTTCGCCGACGGCCGCAAAGGACACATCGACCACCATGCCGCATCGTGATCGACCCGTCAAAGAAGCGATACAATTGATAACTTTAGGGGAGAGATGTTGGAGAGTAACATTATATTTGTTATTGTTTGTTTGTTGTTGTCTAGTGATCTGATCTATTGGTGTTGTATTGACCTATGCGCGGGATCTGAGCGCTATATAAGGCGCTCCCTGCTAGCTAAGTCATTCGTTCGTCTCGTCTTATCTTGTGTTCTTATACATATCCGGTCTACTAATAAATCTACTATTCTACAAGTGTCCTGGATCCACTACAAGTACAAGTACAAGTATAATTACAAGTGGAAGGTTACAACATATACTGTATTGATTATATAAGAAAAATAAAGTGGAGAAAATGAAAAGGTGCTGCTCCTTAGAAAAGATGCAATATCACTTTGGATTTGAGTAGAGATTTTTTTGAAAGGAAAGCTAGTGGTAAATATTTCAAGCTGAATTTGCATTACGCAAGAAATCTGTCTCCTATAACATGCAAATATTTTTTCCTACCCCCCCCCCTTTAGCGCTTCACTGCTCATTTTACGCTACACTGCTCTCTCAAGATTACTAGAACATTCTATTACTACAATCGTCGTTGTGTACTAGTTTCTTGATCCTCTCTCCTGTCTACTGGCGATCGAACTTTACACTTATACACATAGATTTTACCCAATTGTATAGGCACATAAAGTAGTGCTCTTAAAAATGAGCTGTTTATTACTGATTTGAAATTCATTAGCTTTTACTTAGACTCGCTTTCGCTAAAAACGTAGGGTAAAATGCTAGATGACTAGATGCTATCAAAGCAAACGTTGACGACCGCTTGACGCACATGTGTGTCAAGGCTTGGATCTCATTAATATGTCTCGGGTCTCGATTGTCTCGGGATAAAGTCACTCCAAAAGTTTTTCTTTGCACTGAATTTGAAATGAAAATTCATCTTTGTTGTCAGCATTTCAGAGCTACTGTAGGTATACTTAAGATAGCAGTGTGCGTGATTATATGTAAATAATGTCAACTGGTTAGCAAAAGGCTTTTGTCTCAGATAGTACAGCTAGAATTCTGCATGGTCGCCAATGTGTCAAGGAATAATCAAAGTTAATAGCAAGTAAATTGAAGTTATCTTATCTTACAACCTGCTATAGGATCAAAATTGTGAGCATACCTTCGATAGTCTAGAGACAGGGCGTCAAAAGTGAAGGTTGTTTGAATATCTGACCACATAAAAAGTGAAGGTTGTTTAAAGAAGATCAGAGAAGAGAAAACGACGTAAAAAGATATAAAAAACAAAAGAAACAGCTGAAGACCGGATGAAAACGCTGCGAAGAGGTTTGAGATCTTTTGTTTGGCGGCTTTTTAAAGTGCAAGTTTTCGTTCCAGGACCAGCAATTCGCAACACGGGGTTTTGATTTTTGATGCGTCCTTTAGATTTTTACTTCCTCATTGACGCTTCTGTCTCCTGGGACGTTGTCTGGATCGTTGCGCTTATTGTTCTGAGCAACAATCGCCCAAGCTGGAAAAAAATCGATGCGAAAGCACTGAAACAGAACAAGGTAAAGAAAAACGCCCTTTTTACGGTTTTTCGCAAAAAAATCCACCATAATCGAAGAAGTAAGGGCTGGGTGGTTGTCTGCATTATGAATAGAAGCAAGATCTATAGAATGCACGAAAAAACCGCGTGAAAACAGTTAAACTAGGAGAAAAACGAGAGGTTTTCAAAAACAAGGTTTTTGCCGGATTTCTCGATCAAATCAAAAAATGTGATTCTGGGACGTTGTCAGCGTAAAAATAGAGATCAAGAGCTTCAAAATGATATATAGCTTGCTAAAATTGGGTTCGAAACAGCGAAGAAAAGGGTACCAGAGCCAAATGCCCCGCGCCCCGCGTTTGGGGTAGCGAGGTAGCGCGCAGCGCGCGGAGACGCAGACGAGCAGCGGAGACAGACCAGAGCCGACGGAGCATTTGGCTCTGGTAGTAGATCTCCGCGGGGTCTCAACGAAATCCTGCAACATTATATATCATTCTGATCGTCATGACACGACGAGGAGAACTGACAACATCCCAAGCTTTGAAAATCACTCATTAACGAAATAGACCAGCGTTTTCGTGCGCAACTCTCTGCGCAAGATTTAAGCGGACTTTTTCGTTTTTATTCAACTCCAATAGCTTTCATAAACTTCTGAAACTTGATTTTGTTCAAAAGAGAGGATGACTGAAAAATTTTGTCCTGAATTCTGGCGAAAATTCCACAGAAACCTTTTTGAGCTAAAAAAGGCTATGAAAACGCAAATTCTCGGTTTCGTTGAGATAAGCTGAAGATATTATTTCCTATATTTGCTTCATCAACATTCGTTCCGATATAGTCAGGTTAATAACATCCGGGGATGACTAAGCCCTGGATGACTTCTTTTTTTTCCAGGTGAAAGTTGTGTCCCCTCATAGCCCTCAAAGTGAAGGTTACCAGAGTACGTGGCTCTATGTATCGAGGGTATGATTTTGAGCATGAATTGAGAAGTTAGTTTTGACAGTCCACTCCGTTTTGTAGTACAAAGCAATAAAACTGCGGTGCGCTAAAGTTGAATGCACCTGGAGAGTCATGAATGGATATGTGCGAATAAAGGTTCACTCCAGGCTACGCAGCGAAATCAAACAACTGTGAAATCTTTGTACCACTTTCACGCCTACTCAGTGCAGTTGAACTGCAACAATACCTCACAACATGATTGCGTCTGAAAAATGTCTTGCTATTGTCTAGTGAGGAAATGAGCAAAAGTCGTGAGCCCCTCCGTTCATTTCCCTATAAATAATCTCGGAACAGATCTTGGGTCAATGATGAGAGGCTTATGCGTTCTACTAGTGGTAGGTCTACCAATCTCTTTTTACTAACAATAAGTAATACAAGGTTGATTAGGAAAATATGTGAAACATTTGACCTCATTGTTCTATATGTGATCGAATTCCGCCATAACAGATGCTCGTAGCGGTCAGTGCGGAAAATGGCCTTGATGGTGGAAGTGGTGAACTGCCACAACATTCATTATTGGAACAAATGACTGGCGAAGATGGTGACACTCAAGATGGCAGTCTAGAAGGCGAAGAGTAACTTTATCCAGCACAGGATAAGAGGGATGACCTTATACCTAGAAATTTACAGCTATGACAATGAACCGGATGGTGAACTGCACGATGACAGTGAACAGTACGTTGATCCGCATCAGAGCGGTGAAATCTACATAGGTGACGTTCTCGAGGAAGAATGTGGAAAATATAAAGACTTGGATACGAAGGTGGCCGGAGAGATTAGAGGGGATGTGGAACATGTCAAAGCAACGCTGGTTAGTTTCTAGATATTTTACAGATGAGTGTCCCCTAGTGCAGCTATGTTGACGGAGGTGGTCACGGTTTCTGAACCTTTCATCTAAAGCGGAAGTTTTGAAGATTTCTTGTCATCAAAAATCGCCGCACTTATAAGATGTCAATGCTCCAACCAATAGCTGCAAGAAACCATATTAGTCTGGTTCCTAAACAATTTATCGATGTGTAATGACTTTAGGGCAATTGCTGGATTTTAAAGAGTTGTTTTCAGAATGACAACGTCAATTGTGATTGCACCAAGACAGCAGTGAAACTTCTACAATTTCTACAAGAAGAGGAACGGATATCCAGTGATTCATATTACGCTTATACCAAGATGTGAGTAGCAAAAAATGTGCTTTGATCAGTAATTTCTTTGAATTGAAAACCACTGTCTTTTAGTAATAAGGAAGAACCGAATGATAAAATTGCTGAACGTCTTTGGAGCAAAGGTATCATGACAGGCCTGGTAAGAATATCCTTGCCTTTATTATTAATAAATTGCCCTGAAAGGTTCTGTCTTTCATAATTGAAAATTTGTAAGTCTTTGCCATATCAACGCATTTGCTTCTTTTTCAACTAATGAAAAGAAGAATCCTTCCTCTTTGTAGTGTCTCGTAGAGCTTCTACTATACATTGCAGAGATAAAAATGGAAAAAGAAGGCCACTTGAGCATTGACCATTTTAAGATAGGTCGCCAAAAATATGGAAAGCTGCAGAAAAATCTAATTGTCAGCACATGAGTTTTTGGAACTGTTCCCTGCATCTGAGAGAAATTGTGCTGTTTGGACATCTCCTGTAAGTTATAATTTTCGAGTTTACAATGGAGAACGCCGAAATTAACTAATTTGTCGCTTTTCTCAAAAATTACAACTTTTCATTAAAACGTGCAAACTGCGCAATTTTTTTCGGATGCAAAGAGTATGTCATAGAACTTATATACTCACAATTCCAGATTTTTCTGCGGCGTTTCAAACTTTCGGTGATCTAACTTAAAATGGTCAAAGCCCAAGTGGTCTAATTCTTCCATTTTTATCTCTGCAGTGAATGTAGATTGAAGCTCACCGAGATACCTCTGCAAAGATGAAGATTTCTTCTTTCTAGTAATAGAAAGAAGCAAATTTGTTAGAACAGCAAACTTAAAAATTTTCAATAATGAAACGACAGAACTTTCGGGGCAACCTATGTAATATACTGTAACTCCTTTGTTTACCTCTTGATTTAGAAAAAGTGACTTGAAAAGCTACCAATTTTCTCATTTTCTTCTAAACCAGCTTAGGCTTTTCGGAGCCTTTAATACTTTTGGTTACAGCTTTATGACCTTGCATCTGTCTGAATCTCATCGAAGCCACTTGGTTAACTTCTCCATCGTGCGAATGAGAAATTTTTTACAGCTAGAAGTCGCAGTAGGGAACAACAACGTGGAACTCAAATTTGGATGCGCTAAGGACAATGACTGGGCAGTTTGCACGTTCAAAGTCCCTGAGAATCAGCGGGACAACATTGAAGCAGAAGCGAAAAAACGTGCAGTAGAGCGGCAGAATAAAGCATGGGAGGAGCTGAAGAAGGAGATGGAGTCAAATTCTGCGTAAGGCTCTCAATAGAAGGCATAAACCTTTCAAGATAGATTTAATTTTGAACTGTCCATCCTTCCATTTCTTCAACCTAGTTACTTGCTTGTGCAACATTGTAAGGCCCCTGTGAACTGTGACGACTCAATTGTGGTTGTCGCCCTCCCCAACTGTAGAAGCCTAATTCGCAGTAACGATTGGTACTCTGTGCTCAGTACAATAACTAAAAGGATAGAAAAGCTAGCATGTAAAAGAAAGATGCAGGAAGGTAAAAGTCAAGAATTCGATTGTGGAACGTGACCGTTGCCACTCTCATAATAATTTGTGGATGCCCTTCAGCTGAATCTGTAAGTGCATGAAATTGATTGTCTTGCCGGCACTTGATGTTAGTTTCACTGTTTAAGATCCTAGATGAGAAATGCAACGGCTCTGCTATATTCACTAAGTCTGACGTATCTAAGCCAAAATTTAGTCTGTCTGTTAGAGCGGAAACCCTCTTTCCAGCTTGCCTATAATACATGTTTGGGGCCCGGATGGCTAAAGAGGCGTTATTCGGCTTTCCGGGCCCCAAAGCTCACATTGGCAAAATCACTCTTGACGTCTTGCATCTAAATGATAATAAAATTGTCGGCTTAGGCGGCGGTAAACTTTGGAAACAGTGATTGCAGTGATGTTTTGAAAATATAATTTCTAGCTTTGCATAAAGTGAGAGAGCGCATCTCATCTGTGTCCAGCCTTCACTCATAGAAAGCTTTGATTCGCAATTTTTTTTCTCCAATTCTCTCTGAGAGGATCATGGAAGAAGAAAACTTTGTGATTTACAGCTTACGTTACTGTCTATGCGAAACAGTTTTATCGAAGTGAAATTAGTCGAAAGTGCTAACGAGATTATTGCTTGAAGCATGTAACTAGACATCATTTATCGCAAACGTTAGAAAGCTGTTAAAAGGCTGTTCTTTCTTCGCCTTTCAAAGACTCTGAGGTATTGAATGTTTGTCAGATACCTAAAGATTCCAGAATAAATTTGTTGGAATCTTAGTCATTCTGTGATTTTTTCTGTATTGCATATCAACTCAGTTTGTATAGTTTATGCGAGAAGCAAAACAGTAAATGATATATAGGGTTACCCATAGAGCAAATAGCGAACCTCCATGTATCACTCTCCATTATTTTAAGGAGAAAAAGCCATGGATTAATACTAATCAAATTTTTTCGTCATTCCTCGTCAGATGCATTTCTTGATGACATGCGTGGATAAAACATAGCAAGGGACTGTGCACAGCTTCAGTTTAGTATTGGTACTTCAGTATTTCCATGTACTACTTATTTTGTGAATTCTCAAAGAGCAAGTGAAATGTATACGTGGTCAGCGAAGAAAATTTTTTGCAAGTAAAGCTTCTGCAACTATAGTTCTGTTGATATAAAAAAAGTTGTTTTGGAGAGGGCCAATTTCATAAGTACCTCTCGCAACTTCCAATTAACAGGGCTGCGGAACATGTTCGCACACCTGCACAAACGAATAATGCTTAAAAAGTTTTCTCTTCGTGTAGAAGTGTTTCCTTCCAACTATGTTATGCATCAAATTTGGTGCACAATGCTAGAGCAGAGAATTACGGAAATTTTGTTTTTCGTCCCGCCGGGCAACCTAATTTCAGCATAGCAGAAAGTTCAGCCCCAAATGAAAAAGGTCCAAATCAGCACTCTTTATAGTAGGTGTAAGAGCTCCATTACCTCCCTGCCTTAACAACTAGAGTCTATAATCTGTGATTACTTAAATGGCTCTCTTTGTAGAGTTTGTTGTTAGCAAGTGTTGAATTCGAACCGATTGACTCCTGCCAAAAAACTTGATTAGGATTTTTTTTCTGGTTGGCAAGAGCACTCGATAGAGTGACACAGAAGGAAGGAGCACATGTGGACTTATGAACACGTCTAAAAGTGCAAATCACCACTCACTATCTACTTCTGCATCTTTTCTCCAACACATTTCTTATACCAATAATCTGTCGTCTGCGTCCACTGTCAGAAAAGGTCAAAATATCTGCGCCTTTGAGCAGTTGCAGTTACGGAAACCAAAATGGGACACCGTTTTTCGCAAACACCATTGCAGTCATCAAGCCTCACTTAATGCAACTATGGAGGATGATCTTTCGACATGACATTCTTCTATGCCAAAATAAATTGCCAAAACGAAGGAAATTTCAGTCGAAACGCATTGTATTCAACTATCACGCAAAGAGATCGAAAAAATCTGTCTTACATATAATCGACGTGTTCTGGATGCAGTCTGACTGACGAAAATAACTTTGAAGGGCTTCGATCAACAAACTCGAAATTGTATGCAATTTTCAGGCCAAACTGTTACGACGGCAGATGGCTCGCAAGATAATCTGCAGAAGGATTTTTAGGGTTATTCTGGCCTTCGAAATCCATTCTATTAGGTCGTTCCGAAAGTAATGTCGCTATTTTCAAACGTATGCCACATCTCGTGGAACAAAGATATGTAAGAGATTCTGGTAGCTGATGCAGCATTTCATTCTCTTTCTAATGGTTATAAAGATGTTGCAATACAGTCAATGAGCTTCCAGAAAAGAGTCGAAATCTGCGACCTATGCTTTCTGAGATGACCAAGTTTCACAATTTTTCTAAAATTTTATAACAAATCTCAGAAGGAGCCCAAGTAATGGATGGATGGAGCAAACCCTACATTAAACAGCACAACTTTTTTCTACTTTCCAGAGCTCGTCATAAGTTTTGTACAGGTTTTTTGATGGAACCACCGAATTTTAGAAGGCTCGTCTCAGACACAAATGCACCAAACACCAATAAATCTTCGGATCTTGAAACTTACAAAGATGGATTATGGTTTGGCAACAATTTCACAAACCAAACGAGCATTCACCGCTTTGGTTTAGCCACTTTTGGAAATTTCGGGTACACCTTGCCTTGGAAAAGTTGAATTATGATGATTTTATCCCGGAAAACTTGATGAATTGGACAAAAAACGACCGCTAGAAAGAGGAGAAAAAGCTGCATCGAATGGCACCCGAGTTGTTGCCGGTTGTTGTTCTGTGAGGTTTGACTTGACTAAATATGGAATTTGATGGCATTGAGAAAGTGATTATAGAAACTCTGAGAAGCAAGCTAAAGAAAAGAAAAAATCACTCTGTGTTCTATAGTGTTTGCTCTATCTACCTGTCACTTGTACTTTTCCGGATATTAGGTACAAGAATTTAGAAAAATAGCCGAACTTGACCATGGCAAAAAGCATGGGTCGCAGATTTTGGTAATTTTTCGAGAGCTCATTGAACATTATGCAGTGAGAATAGAACGATTAGAAAGAAAATGAAATGCTGCATCGAATGCTCCTAAGATCTTTTGAAAACGTTGATTCCGCGAATAGTGGTGTTCATTCGAAAAAAGCGACATTACTTTCGGAACGACCTAATACTTGTTTCCTTACGAGTCTTTGGCATATATATTTCATGGGCTCGCGAACCTTTCTAGTTGTAAGTTGATAGTAATGTTCGCTGTTCTTTCAATGGGCTAATCACAGCTTGTCAACAGTTGCTCTAGCCTTTGATCATAACAAACATCTTTGCTTCATACAACGCATTGGCAGAACCTCCTTTAGTTTAACCTCTTATATCAACAGCGTGCTGATAAAAACTCATTCCGACTTTGACGAAAGACAAGTGAACCAGGAAATGCGCACTTCTACAAAAAGACAGACAAGCAGGTCCAATGGTAGGCGTTTCATTTTGATTACGGCTTTCGTTGTCGAAGTAGGAGATGGAACGCTAGGCGCTCGTCATTGCCTGCGCTTCCACCTTCTCCAGTTTTAGCACTTGGGGAACGTACTGAACACACAGGATTTGATGTTACACCCTTAGTTGATCAGATTCCGTGTGAGATTGGATGGCCGATATATCAGCTTTCAACATGAAGCTCGGAGTTTGAAATGTGCTCGAAAGGTACATGAACTTCTATGTCACCGATAAGGGGTTTGCCACACGAGCAGTACATGACGTCTACAAATGCAGAAAATGAATCCGAATTAGCCGCCTTACCCAGAGATCGTTTTAATATGTAATTTCGACGACTAAAACCCTGCTTCGTCTACGGTTTCATTGAATGGTTTTGTTTCATGTGTTCACTTGATGCTGCCTCAACATATGACGCTCATGAGAAGCACGAAGCAGATCTAAGGAATAATTAAGTAGTAGTCAAAAAGCTAGATGGCTCTAGACTCAACGTGTTGATGGTGAAACGCATACACATCAAGTCAAACCACTCGCAGCAGTGGTAAGGCTAGCTCATGTCGCTATATTCCAACTTTCACCTTCTTCATCTTAGGCGTAGCTGGTGGCATTTCCCTCACCCAAGCAAACACCTGTGGTTTTCAACAATATATCTGAAGCTCCTGATGGAGCTTGTGCTACTTCACAACTCTGCTGACTGTGATAGAACCTGATTTGGACCGCAAATTTAAGAAATCACTATGAAAATGAGAAAACCAGCAATGGTCTCGCAAATGACTGCAAGTTCGAAATTCAAGTGTGTTGTGACAGGGAACAGCAACGCAATTTTTGGAGTCAGGTAAAAGAGAAAGAATCGGTGTTATAAGGAATGGGATTTGGACTGTATTTGCAAGAAGATAATACAAGGATATGGATTTCATCACTCAGTCACTCTTGCTTTATGTGAAAGAACAAAGTTACAAGTCTTCGTGTTTGCGTGGGCGGTTCTCCTTTGCTTTTGCTGCTAGAAGAAGCTTTCAGCGTATTGCTGATACATTTCGTGAAATATTTACTTATTTATTTATCAAATACATCGTAAACGATGCACCACCTCACAAATGAAATACAGACCACTTTTGAGTCGTATCCGAATAACAAATCTTAGAGAGTTCTTATATAAGTTCAGGAAGAGGAAAAGCTCATGGGCTGCTGATAAGGCCACGAATGACGTTGTAAGTGTAACTTCTGGGGAAAGTATTATTTGATGGTGTTTTGAAGGTAAAT